GGATAACCTGCTTGAGGATGGGATCTCTGTCTTGAAGAGTGTAAGATGAGTGTTGAGGCTCAGTAACAACAACTATGACTAAAAAGCAATCGATGAATGAGTCTCTCGAGGCTTGGAATTTGAGCCACTTGTGAACGTATCGGGCCATGTCAACTTGAATGTCGGAGAGCAGCCACCTGAGTATTTAGGAGCAGAACCACATAAACGCTGAGATCTAATGGGACAATCTGGATCAATATGACCTCATAAGTGATAGAAGCGACACTCGGTCTACGAAGATGTGGCAAAAGTGTGGTCACAACTCCTGCAAACCTAACACTTTCCAATACTAGGTAGTCGGGATTGGCGAGGTGAAGCAGATCCACTAGTAGAAGAAGATACAACTAATATAAAATCAGAGTTTGGTGCATTATCTAACTGAAGTCGAGTTTCCTCAAATATAATCTCCTAAATAGTAACATCAAGAGTAGACAATGGACATCGCTGTAACAGAGATGCACGCGGGGCGGACCTTTTTTTTTATTAAATATATGTAAATATAATATAAAAATTGATAGAAAATCATAAAAAGAATACTGAAAATTTGTTAGATTTTCATTTTAAATCAAAATTATTATTATTTAATTTGTATAATTTTTAATAAAAATATATTTTTTCTTAAAATATCATATAAAAATATTATTTAAATAAAAATATAATATTTAAATTCAAATTAAAACAAAACAAATCTTTAGTTGTGGGAATGAAATAATTAACTTTAATGATTTTCTTAATAAAAGTAATTTTTTTAAAAAAAATATATGTATTATTTATCAATTTTAAACAATATAAAAAATATATCTACAATATGTAATTATTATTTGTCAGTATGTTAAAAAATTGTCAACAAAAATATATTGTGCATATTATATTACAATTTAGTGAGTAATGATTAACTCTAATCAACATCATATCTAACATAATTTTTAAAGTATAATAACTCGAAAATATAATTACCCGAAAATAAATAAATAAATATATGTTTTTGTATGTATAAATTAAATATAATTGTATTATTTTCGATTTTAGAAAATTAACTACCCCTCCGGCTAAGTTCTAATTCCGCCTCTGGATGCACACACAACCTCACACTCAAGTCCAAGAGCCATCAAGAAAAAGTAAAAAGTACAAGCGTCATTGAAGTAATTTATATACTTGGGTTGAGAAGAAAGAATAGTTATGTAACTAAGATCGCAACTTTGTTGATATTCGGCTTCTTTTTTTAATTGAAACAGAAGAATGATTCTACGAGACTTCACGAATGAGTGTGTTTATTTGAAGGTTTGAATTTCGAATTTGAGTTTTAAATAGAAAAAATTTAATTTGAATAATTATTTGGTGTGATATAATATGTATTGATACGATATTTTAAATACAAATATTATTTTTTAAATAGAATATAAAAAAATAGATATTTGATAAATAATAAAATTCTTGTAAGAGCATATGGAGTGTCTACTTCATTATCTTTTTTATCTCTCATCCACATTATATTTATCTCGACATTCAAATAACTATTATTTTTTATCACCCAAGACTCACAATAATTTATTTATTTTTATATATTTTTATCACATAATACATATTATTTATTTATATATACATATTTCTATATATTTGTATTGTCTAATAATATTTTTATATAATATTATTTTTTAACTTTTTAATATTTTAATTTTTTAATATTAATCTGTATAAAATTTAATATGCTGAAATATATAATTTACTATTTAAAAATTTGAAAGTATTCAAAATAAATCAACATTTATATTTATATATAATTTATGTTAAATTTAAAATTTAACATCTTGAAATTTCAAAAAAATTTGAATAATATTTAATTATTATTATTATTATTTTTTAAGGTAATCAGTAGAAATATAATAAATATATAATAATTGTATTTCCTTATAAGAGGTAATAAGAAAGGTAATTAATTTTTATAGTAAAAATTGAAAAAACAATCACGGCAATTGTAACATATGTTCTAAAAAATCCCAAACAAACACAACTGTAAATTTTGAAAGTAATTTAGCTTGTGTTAAGCAGTTTTTTTGGTATAGAATTTCTTACTTAAATGTTAGTATCCAATATAATTATTGATTGTATCCTAATAATCCTTTTATACAGAAGCAAAACAGATTTACCCTTGAAGTTTGATTAATCTTGATCAAGAGAGTTGGTTACAAACATGACATTAAAAGATACTATGAGTAAATTGTATTACAAAATGTTTCCTAAGCTTAGTGTTTATCTATTAATTGGTGTTTTCTACACAATCTACGACTCTAAATTTTTTGGCCTATTTTTACCATATATATATATATATAAAGCAAAAATAAAATAAAATATATGTATAATGTGAAAGAACGTATATTAAAATTTATGTGGTTACATTTAAATTTGAATTTTTTATCTAAAAATATTTTGATACGATGATTTATGAAAAAAATATATATATTTTTTTTATTAAAAACAAAATCAAACAAACTAAAATAAATAAATAATTAAAAATTTCATATTATTTATATATAAATAAATAATATAAAAATTAAATAAAAAATATACTTTTTTATTATTTTTGTCGGAAGCTCATTAGAATTCAAGAACGGACTTAATACAATCTGATACTCTCTTTGTTCCACCTACCGTGTCTACGTTATTATCTCTCGGACGGCGGCGGCTCAACGATGGTAGTCTCCCGACAGTCCTCCGACAAACAACATTGGCTTGGCTCTAGCAACAGCTGCATCATTTGGCAAATTGACTGTACTTCCATTTTGCAATAGGGACGATTTGTTCGGCACAGCCCAATGTGCGAAATGGCATGAGGTAACCATGTCTCAAAGTGAAAGTCGCTCCTTACTCTATGTTTCAACATCCACCGAAGTCGGCACAAAAAAAGACTTATAATCCTCACCGGAAAACTTCTCAGAAAGCTGCTCTCTCTTCTCTCCTTTTGTTCTAAGCCCTCTCACTATCTATTTCTCATAACTTCCCAAAAAATAATCTAACAAACCCAACTAATGGGCTTAGGATTAAAAGTTTGAAATTGTGATTTGAATTTAATGTAAAGAATTTGAGTTTGGGTTAAAGGGATTGGGTCGAGTCCGGTGGACTGAACTAAGTAGTGGGTCAACTATTGTATTATCGAAAAACTCGTTGGATTAGATCTTGAACAGACAGAAATTTTCAACAGAAACATAATGTCGTATTATACGATTTATCTTACCCTTAATTATAATATTTCATTTGTTACATTGGCATAGCATAGAGTAAATATATATATATATTTTTATATTAGGAATAGATAATCATATAAATAATATAAAAATAAGAATATTTATATTAAATTATTAATTTTTTATGATAAATAGAATACACTATATCCGTTCGGCTCTAAGGGTCTCATTTAAGTTTTTTGCGTGTTGATATTTGAATATTAATTATTATATCAAAACGTAGTACAAATTAAGAAAAAATTACAAAAATGCTTCCATTAGTGTCTTATAATACTAATAAAAGGATATTTGTACAAAATATTATACAAATATAAGAATATTTTTAATATTAATTACAATGACGCAAAAGGTAAATAAGACCTTAGAGTCGGACGGATGAAGTATATATTATGTATTGCCTAAAAATATGTATATAATTTATTTTTTTTATAATATTCCTTAGAAATCAGATCAATCAAAAAATATTAAATGTACACACCCATATATTCTTTAAATTTTTCTAATAAGAACCTTAGTAGTTTAGTTGAAGAAATGGGAGACTAAAGACCATACCAGAACAGAACATTCATGCTTCAATTATCAGATAGGAGATTAGTACTAGTTTTTAACAACTTAAGGGAACAAATGATCTTGTTGTCTAATGTGGTGTGTTTTTTCTTTTTTCATTAAGTAATACTCCATTCGTCCCGGCTACAATGTCACATAAGAATTTAATAGAGGTATAATTTTTAAATAATTAAAAATATATCAATAAAAATAATTATAAAATTATAAATTAAAATTTATTGTTCTTTTTTTAAAAAGAATGACAAAATAAATAAGATAAACAAAAAGAAAAAAACGGATACAGTAAGTGGGACGGATGACCAACAATGCCTTGCCAAGGCATATTGGAACTTTTATTGTGCTATTTGTTTGAGCCCATTCAGTTGCTCTTTATTGAAGCCCAAATCAAATTAAATGTAATTAAATCAAATAATTTATCTGACCCATTATAATATGTTAGTATATAATTTTGGAAGCAAGGATAAATAAAATTAATGGGCTTACCCTAATTACATGCATAGTTATGTTTCTTTTTATAGATTTGGAAAAAAATTTACTTGAATTTGGCATTAAAATAATAATGATGATATATTTTATAAAGGAAAGAATATACTATCTTCGTCTAGCATTAAGGTTCTCATTTATTTTTAATATTAATTATTATATGAATACGTAGTACAAATTAAAAAAAATTGCAAAAAAATACTTTTATTAATTAATATCTTATAATACTAATAGTACACTGACGTAAAAAGTAGATGCGACTCTAGAGGTGGACGGATGAAGTATATATTTTTTTTCTGAAAATGCAGAGTCGGGACCCGATCCACAATTAATTAATGAGCTTAACCGAAACACTTTTCAATAAACTATTTATTTATTTATTATTTTAATGGAGAGGGAGAAAGAGAGATGGGAAACTAAAACAGAAATAATATGATGAGCGCCACAAAGTGAGAGTTAATTAATAGTGAGTGTTACTTCTTCATGACTTTATTCGATAAAATAAAATACAATACAATACTAAAGCAGCTAAGAACAAACTGTAAAGCCATGGATCCAACATCATACTATCATGCCTGCCATCTTCAATTCTTCATCCAGATATATATATATATATCTTTAATTCTTCCAATTAATTACTTACACATAAATTGCAATTGTGATTGTAAATGTTAGTTATTAGTCTTTGGTTATGGAAAGTGATGAGTTGTACAATGTTCTTGGAGTTCATCCTTCTGCCTCCGAGCTTCAAATTCGCAGGGCTTACTACCTCAAGGTATGTGTTAAAAAATTTTGCGGAAACTATGAAGCTTGGCGTTATTGATCATCAAAACAAGGGATCTTTATATAAGTAGCGTAAAACAGACTCGATAGGCTCAAATCTAAATAACCGTAATCTAAACTAAATATCAAAAATCTCTCGACGACATTATGTATCTATGTATCCATGTATATAGGTAATTTGTATTTGTATTTGTATTTGTGTTTGTTCCCTTCTCATTCGTTCATTCATTTTTGTCACCTAATTCATAATATAAATATATATATATATATATATATATTGCAGGCTAGGCAAGTTCACCCTGATAAAAACCCTAATGATCCTCAGGCAGCTCAAAGATTTCAGGTAATTAATCATCCAATCCAATCCAATCCTTTACTTGTCAGTTTCCACCTTGCTGTGTGTAGCGACGTGCTGATTTTTCAACTCAGCACACATTATATGTACAAACAATACAGATTATTATTACGTACAGCACATGTTCTATATACTAAAGGTATTGTGCTGTTTTTCTATAATAACAAGTGTGGTGTACAAGAGTATGTCATGTGTTAAAATCAACTACTGTTGTGCTATGAGACTATAACTTGTGTTGTTAGTTCATGTGCTATATTTGTATTATATTAACACATAGAATATGTTGTTTGAAATAATACTATGCTGTCATACAACACACGATGTGTTGTTTAGACTATAGTTCGTATTCTTTGTTCATGTGATATATGTAATAATATCAATTGCTGAAAACCGCCGCCCATTAATTCATTATATATATATATGTATTGTTAAGACAGGGATCCGTTGGTTTTAGGTTGGAACCCCGGATCCTCATCTTAACATGGTATCAGAGCCATGGTGCCCGTATTGGGTTTGGATCCTGTATGGATTTTCGAAATTATTATCTCGAGGGAGAGTGTTGAATATTGTCCCACATTGCTAAATGTGAAATTTCCCCTGGTATATAAGGGTGAAGGGCACTCCACTTATTACCAATTGGTTTTAGGTTGGATGCCCGAATCCCTTCTTTAACGTGTATGTTTTATTGATTTGTCTCAGGTACTAGGAGAAGCATACCAAGTTTTAAGCGATCCAGCACAAAGGGAAGCATACGATCGAAATGGAAAGCATCACGTTCCTAAGTAATTACGTACCTACCCTACCCTACCTCATCTGAAAATATCTGATCTCTCTTTGTTTACTTTACAATATTGATTATTATATATAATATATAATTGTAAAATTGTGTAATAAAAATGAAAAAGTAGGGGTAATTTTACGGTGATATGATTATTTATGAAAATAAGACTATTGTTTTGGGACAGACAAAAATGGTAAATAAGACCATAGTATTCGGACGGAGGGAGTATTATATTTACGATAGTTATTTTATTTAAGAGATTTGTAAGATTTTTGTATTATTTAGATGATTTATACGGCATTATAAATATAGGAATTCTAATGATTGAAATAGAGAATTTCAATTTCATATTTTAATAATAATTATAATTTAGGGAAGCAATGCTGGATCCCACTGCTGTTTTTGCCATTCTCTTTGGAAGTGAGGTTTTTGAAGATTATATAGGCCACCTACCTGTCGCAGCATCAATGTCTTCCGCACAATTAATCAACACTCTCACTCAATATGATGATGTTGATGATGATGATGGTAAACTTCTTCACGACAGACTCAAGGTATTGTAATCAATCCAACAGGAGATTATTACAAGTATTATCGATCGATTTCTTAGATCTCACGTTGGTAATGGTAATGGATTCATTAAGGGTGTTCAAAGAGAAAGAGAAGAAAAGCTTGCTAGGAAGCTAAGGGACTTTCTTCAACCTTATGTCTGCGGCGACAAGCGAGGCTTCTTAAAACAAGCTCGATCCGAGGCTGAAAAGCTTTCACAAACAGGTTTGTAAATACTATTTCCGTTCGGCTTCAAGGGTCTCATGTACTTTTTGCGCGTTGATATTTGAATATAAATTATAATATGAAACCGTAATACAAATTAAGGAAAAATAACAAAAATACTTCTATTAGTGTCTTACAATACTATTATAATGATATTTGTATAAAATATTATACAAATATAAGAATATTTTTAATGTTAAATACAATGACGCAAAATTGGTAGAGTTGAACTCGGCTCGGTTTGGATTGATTCTGCTCAGTTAAAGCTCGTTCGCGAACGTTAACGAACCGAGCTGAACAACATAAACAGGCTCGTTTGGTTAACGAACGAGCCCAAACTTTGTTCGCGAACATTCATTTAAATAGTATATTTATTATAAATATTATATATACATATAAAATTATAATTTATAAATAAATAAAATATTAATTTAAAATATATAAATAAAATAATTTTATTTTTTTTAAATTTATATATAAATTAAAAAAAAAAAAAAAAAGTGAAACAAACGAGCTCGAACAAACTCGAACAAACTTAATCAAGTCTAAACGAGCCGAACACGAACACGAGCTCAAATAGCAAAAATTTTTAATAAGCCAAGCTCGAACACAAGCCTTGTTTGCGAACGTTAACGAACACGAGCCTTGTTCGCGAACGTTAACGAACACTTAAAATTTGGTTCGGTTCGACTTGTTAACAGCTTTACGCAAAAGTAAATGAGACCCTTAGAGACATGTAATTTATATTAATATAGCACAAGTACAAAAATATGTCACTATTGATCTCAGCATATATATATATATATATATATAACATATTCGAATTGGCAGCATTCGGGGCTGAAACTTTGAACACCATAGGATACATATACACAAGACAGGCGGCGCAAGAGCTAGGCAAGAAAGCTATATACCTCGGCGTGCCGTTCATGGCCGAGTGGGTTCGCAACAAAGGACATTTCTTGAAATCGCAATTCACTGCAGCCAAAGGCATTCGATTCCATTCATTTTATTCTCATTCGATATTTCACTACAAAAAAGTATCTAATTAGCTACAATATTTTTAACTATGAAATATTTTTATAGTTAAAACGTGTCATTTAGCAATAAAAATTAATTTCATTGCTAAAAAAAATTATGTACTGCAAAATTAATTTCGTCGCTAAAACCTTTTTGCTAGGAAATTTTATCTTCCTATCAAAAAGGTTTTAGCTACAAAATTATTTTTCATAGCTAAAATCATTTGGCTAAAAAATCATATATATTTTATAGCTAAAAATCTTTTGTTATGAATTTTAATTTTATAGCAAAATAGTTTTAGCTATATATCTTTTCTTAGTTTTCATTGCAAAAAATTTATTGTTTGTTACGAAACTCATATTTATCGCCAAAGACCTTTACTAACGCGATATAGGCAACGAAATGAGTTTCGTCGTAAAAATATTTTTTTTATGAATTATTATATTTTGCTACGAAATTTTTTTGTAGCTAAATTTTAACCTTTTTATAGCGTTTCTTTGAAGCTGCTGACTGTGTGTATGTATATGTACGCATATACCTACCTGGTGCAGGCACTTTCCAGCTGCTCCAAGTTCAAGAAGATATCCGGCGCCAATTCAAGGTAGATGGCGGCAGCGCAAGTCCAGAAACAAATGACTTCAAATCACATCTAAGACTCGATAAAGACACACTTATAAACTCCTTATGGAAGCTTAATGTTGTAGACATTGAAATAACTTTACTACATGTGTGTCAAATGGTTAGTGTTCTTCGACAAATTTTCTTACAATTCTCCCTTCCTTCTTTCCGAGTTCAGTCATGTCCGCTTTTTTTTTTTTGTAGGTGCTGCAAGAAAGCTATGTAAGGAAAGAAGAACTCAAACTAAGAGCAGTGGCACTGAAAATCTTAGGGAAAGTCTTTCAGGTGGCTCTGTTTTGTCTGATTAACATTCGGATATCTATTTTGATGTCTGGAATGGAACTAACAAAGTTATTTATGTTCAGAGCCAAAAGAATATTCCGAATGCCGGGACATCAAAGAATAAAATGGCTTCAGCTGACGAAGATGATGACACTACTAGTTCAGACAGCAGCGATGAAGAGGACTCGCCGCGATCACTCAGCTACCGGACTCCATTACTTACACAGGTATGTAAGATATATAATATGTCTGCATTTATACAAGACTTGAAATGAAATATATATATATAGTTTTCAGACATGACTTCGATCTGCGACAGGGAATCGGAAGACTCTTCAAGTGTCTTTGCAACCCAGCATTCGATGTTGATGATGATGATGATGAAATAGTTTATAGAGGAAGACGATAAGTTTCTTCGAAACAACATCCAATCCATCATATGATTTTCAAAAGCTTGGATCTTTGTTTTTGTAACATCAATCAAAAGAACACTTTCCATATATGTAATGAAAACTTCAAAAGCTAAATGTTTGTTTTCTAGTAATGTAATGAGGGAGGCATCTGCGCCTGATCTTCAAAAGCTAAACAATATGATCGATCGTTCTCTAGCACGGTTATGTTCTTGCAGTGATACATATATATATATATATGTATATATATTTAGGCATGTCAGGTGAAGGCAGTTGTAGTGTTTGACATTTTCATCGGAAATGCATTGCTTCTAGAATTAAAATTGAATTCAGCCATGGAAGGCTGAGGAATGAAGTAGTTGTACGTAATAAGAATGCAGACACACAAATCAAGTGCTCCTGAGATCAAGGCAGCCACTAGCTAAGCTAAGCACTCCACGTCTTTGTTTGATCGAGGTTTGAAATAAAATTTAAATATTTATATTTTGTAAGAGAAAATATTATAATTTTGTTAGTTTTTGTGAAAGAATTATATATTTCATTCAAAAAATTACCACAAGTATATAATCAAGTAGGGACAATAAAGTAAATATCAATATATACAATAATATATATAATATGGGTACGGTTAGGGTGCTGCTTTGAAAAATTCAGTACCGTTCAAATCAACACCCGTAATATATGTAAACAACACACATTCTTATTATACACAACACATGATGTATATAGTAAATATATATGCTGTTGGTTTATAATTATAAGTGTTGTTAATTCATGTGTTGTATTTGTGTTGTTGGTTCATAATTACAAGTGTGTTATATAACAGCATGCGGTGCGCTGAAATCAACTATTTTTTTATGTTGTATAAGACTATTAACATATGATGTTAGTTCATGTGATTTATTTGTATTATATGAATATATACGGTGTGCTGCTTGTAGTAACACCGTGTGCTGCATGGTACAAAATTTTAAGATTCAGCACCGTAGTCGCCGCTATATAATATATATATATATACTAACATTCCCCCGAAACTCAAGGTGGTGCCGTAGATATTAACCTGAGTTTGCGCTTGCATAAGAGAATATGAAAACGATCTGAGAGAAGAGATTTAGTGAAGAGATCTTCCGTTTGATCTTCGGTCGAGATTAGAGGCAACAGAACCGTCTTAGCAACCATGAGCGGAAAATATCATTGTTCGCAATCTGTACGGCACTCTGACAGACGCAATGAAGAGTACAGACAAGGACTGGGGCACCAAGATCAGACAGTAACCAACGAAGCCACAAAATTCCGGAGGTAGAATCAACAATAGCACGATACTTAGACTCAACAGTAGACTTGGAGACACTGTCTGCTTCTTGCTATGTCAAGAAACCAGATAGTCACCAAGAAAAATACAGAAATCAATAGTAAATCGATGACCGGAGAGATAACCTACCCAATTTGCATCACAGTAGCCCACAAGAATCAAGGACAAATGAGCCGAAAAGCGCAGACTATGAAGTAGCGTACCCTTAACAAAACGAAGAATATGGAACACTAGATAGTAATGTGCATTCTGTGGGGCAACCATGAACTGACAAACAATATGTACAACATGGCTATGTGACGAGATACGATGAGATAAATTAAGGATCCAATCAGCTGATGATAAAGAAGAGTTATCCCGAAGGATGAGGCAATTGTTTGCACAATAGATAAGATTAGATACATATTTGGCATAAGACAAAAAAAAAGCCATATGAATTGTCATAAATCTCACGTCTCAAGAAATAGCGAAGATGACCAAGGCACTTCATCTTAAAATATCAATGAAGGTAGCCCCGCAAATAAGAAATACCAAAAATATTGTTCTCAATGACAATCGTATCGTCAACATACAATAATAGAATAATAAACCCAAAGGAGCTTCGATGAATAAAGAGAGTCGAGTCATGAGCACTACGAGAGAAACCATACTAAGTAAAGATAGGACTGAATTTGAAAAATCAAGCGTGAGGTGCCTGGTTCAGACCATAGAGAGCGACATTCACGGTCAAATCACTATGCAAAAAGGCATTTTTGGCATTCAACTAACAAAATGATCACCAATGAATAACAACAACAGCAAATAAGCATCAAATAGTGGTAACACGAGTAAACGAAAATATCAATATATAATAATATATAATATATATACTAAAAACTTTTATTAAAACAATGTATGATAAATAGTGTTTATTTTGATTAAAAATAACAACCAAACATATAGTATTACTTCCTCTATTTGAAAATTTTAGCCTTATTTCTTTTGTACTTTTACAAATTATTTCCTAGACAAGAGGGTATTTTATTTTAAATTTTTTAATAATTATACTTAATATGCTTTCATATTAATTTTTTTATATAGATAATAATAATACTCCCTCTGGACAAATATATCTTTTGAAATTTTATAATAGATTAAGAGTATTTTATTTGTTAATGGACATATATAAGATAATTTTAACATTTTAATCATTTGTACTTTATATATATTTATAATTTACATAGAAATTAAAAATTTTAGTATTAAAAGGGATTATGGTGCTAATTTGGGGAACCGTGTTGATTTTTCCAATTAGTACCGATAAAATATGTTTTTGTCTCAAACAACACATGATATATATTGTATGAAATAAAGAAATGTGTCAGCTTAGAATTATAACATACGATGCATATGAATATATCGTGTGCTAAAATCAACTATTGCATATTTTGTATAAGCCTATATTATGTACTATAGTTTATGTATTTTATTTGTATTATATTAATATATGATGTGTTATTTATAGTAATATTGTGTACTATGTGTTAGCATACGATGTGTTGTCAGCGCGTGCTAAATTTTGACTGACATCTTTGGTATTAATATGTGATATAAAAATTAAATATATTTTAAGTGTGAAAAACAGAAATGATAAAAAAAAATATATATATATATATATTTTTACAAATGAAGTATAATAATAACAAAAGGTTCGGCAGTAATATATGAAATCAAATATCAATAATAATAAATACTCCATCCGTCCTAACGTAGATATGGAAATTTAGGTAAACTATAATTAGTAAGTAATTAAGAAATATATTAGTAAAATTAATTATTATATAATAAAATTAATTATAGATTAAGGGGGTATTTGGGAAAGAGATTTTAGCTTTTGACAGGTAAAAAAACTAATTTACGTGTTTTGTAAATTAACTTTTTGAAAGAATTTTTTTTGTAAAAAAAAATTAATTTCTGAAAAACTAATATACACATTGTTTAGAAGAGCTTTATTTTTATTTTGTTTATTTTGTTTTACCCTTGAAAATTATTTATTTATTTTATACACATAAATATATTTTTATTGCAATATTTATTAATTATTTTTAATATATTTAATTTATTAAATTATAATTTTATTTTCTTAAATTTACAACCATTACTATTACCAATTATTACATATAAATCATTTTATAAAATATATAAATCTTTTAAAATTAAATCAAATAAAAAAGACAAATATTATTAATTTATTTATATATATTCTTACTATATAAATTTTACGTTAAAAAATAATAAATAATAATTAACATAATAAAAAAATATATATACAAAATATTTACTATTATTTTATATTTTACACAATTTCAAATATATAAAATATTATTGTTTTTAATAAAAATATTTTTCTCAAATCTAAAAATTAAAAATAAATAATTTATAATATTTTTATGATTTCAATAATTAATAACAAAAATTCTCATAAATTTTAAACCAAAATAAATAAAATTAAATATTCTAAAAATTAGCATATCAATGTCCTTAATTCTCATTTTACGTATAAACAACTAATGTCAAAAAATTGTTTTACGAAACACTTTAATACAAATAACTAATTAAATCAGCGAGTCAGCTAATGAATCAGCTAACAGCTAATTGTCAAATATGCTTAAATGGTACATTTATATTTTTCTTAAAAAAAAGATTATTTGTTATAAAAAATTATTTAGCAAGGTGCTAGATAAGTAAATATTAATAATTTTTTATCAAATAAAAAATAAAATAGTATTTATCTATTTTTAAAAATAAATAATTTGGTGATACAAAAGATATTAATAGAATTTAAAAGATTTATAAATAATGTTTTTTATAGGAGTATTGAAAAGGTCTAAGCCCAATTAGGCCCAAAATGAAGGTAGAAACATTTCTTCCATCTACTTATATTTCCACACAATTTTACCTTTATTTATATAGAAAAATAAATAAATTGCATTTAAAGTATTACATCAAAAATTATTTTCTATTGCAAACTATCACATCACTTTGCATGCTTACTTCTATAATACACATATTCATTATTCTCAAACTATCAAAATTACAAAATATATTAAGGTGTGTTTGTTTGGGGGTTTGGATTTTGAGTTGGGATTTGAATAGTAAAAATTTTGAATTTGAATAGTTGTATGATGTGATATAAATAGGTGTTGATGCGATGTTTTGAATGTAAAATTGATTTTTAGTATAATATAAAAAATAAAAAATAGGTGTTTGATTTGATATTTTTGGGGAGAAAAAATTGGATGAATAGTTTAAATCCAATCCAATTCCCCAAACAAACACACCCTAAAATATATTTAAACACGTGTATATTACCATAACCTAAATAAGTTTATTATTTGAGGAGAAGAAAAAAAGATCATAGCATTTTGACCACAGGAAGGATAATGGGATTGCGTTAAAATGTTTCTATTCTACTTATTTAGGTGGTGTTTTTATTTTATTTTTTTAACTCCCAAAATTTTTAATAAAAATTTATTATTTTTTACTACAAAATATAATATTAAAAATACTATTTAAATACTAATTCAATTTTATAAAAAAAAAAAAAAAAAAAAAAAAAACCCTTGAAAAGAGAACATCCATCTTATGTCTTTTACAAGAATTCAGTGATTTGTGTGAATGGTTTTAAAATTAATAAAATTTTAATGTATAATATGTGTTGGAAAATACTGGATTGACAAATTTGTTTCAAACATCTTAAATAGGTAATTTTTCTTAAAATGCAGTAAACTCAACAGCTAACTGACAGTGATATAAATACTTGAGTAGAAAAATAATAAATAAACAAA